GATGACTGCCTGTATGTGCAAATAAACCTTTCTCCATTATCTCTGGGGGTTTACGTGTGCGTGTTCAGTTTGGTTTTTGCCACATCTGTATACCCTCTGTTCTATAACAACGTAGCATTAAACTTATTTAGAGGAATCTTGACAATATCACCAGAAACGGAAAGCCAGTATCAGCACATACTTGCTATAAATAGAAAAAAAAACCTATACAAATAAATTCCATGAAGACATAAAAAAGTTATCAAATTCTCACAGGACACAATTGCTACTGTAGATTTTTTTAAAAAAATTTTTAAGCCTGGGGCTGTAGTATCTTTCTTAGAAAGGAGATTTGCAGGTGTCAGAGAGGTGTTCAAGACAAGCTAACCCCAACCCGAGGCTTTCTCAATGCTCTTTCTACAATTCATCCCAACATCTACTTGCAGCAGACCCTGTGGATGGCCCCAGGTCCAACCTCCCTTCCTGCCAACAGCAGCTGTCTGGGGAGATTTCCTCCCAGCTGAGCCATCCAAGGGCTCCTCCCCAGCCCTGATCTGTAGAATGGAAAAAATACTAGCCCACAGCTCACAGATTAAGGGATCAGATGAGCTCATTTATAGAAACACATGGAACAATAACAAGCATGAAATAATCATCACTGATGTTTACTGAGACTAACAGCATGTCATGCCCGGCAAAGCGCCTCACATCATCCCAGAGTCTTCGTAACAACGTTTATGTCATGGGTGTACTATTATCACCCTATTTGGCCAATGAAAAAGCAGAGTTCCAGAGAGGTGAAGTAAATTGCCCAAGGTCACACAGCGAGGAGGTAATGGAGCTGGGATTTGAACCCAGCTTGCCTGACTGCAGGGCTGTACATAGCCAGATGTACAAACCCCATAGAGGATAGGGTTCTTGTTCATCCAGACCCATGGTCCCAAGGGTCCTGTCATCCCTTACCTGCTCCCTTTGCACCTTGTACTTCACTCCTTCTGATCTGAGGAGATTTCTCTCCCTAGAGATCCTTGGGCTTGAGGGAACCAGGAGGAGAGGATGTGAAGTTGGCCTGGCTAACTCTGTGGTCAGGATCCTAATGACCCAGTAATTTTCCTCCAAGTCCAGTATTCTCAGGATTCCGTTCTAATCATCCATCTATCCACTCACACACCCACCCATCCATCCATCCATCCACTAACCCATCCATTCATTTACTCATTCATCTTTTCTCCCATTCAACCATCCATCCACCTTCCCGCCATCCATCCACCCACCCATCCATCTATCCACCCACGCACCCACACTTCCACCTCATTTACCCACCCATATCCATCCATCCACTCACCCACCCACCCATTCATCCATCCATCAATCCACTCACACATCCACTCATTTACTCATTCATCTGTTCTCCCATCCACCCATTCTTCCACTCACCCACCCACCATTCATCCATCCATCCATCCACCCACACATCCATCCATTCACCCTCTCACCCAACTACTCGTTCACTCACCCATTCATCTATTCTCCCACTACCCGCATTCATCCACCAGTCCATCCATCCATCCATCTATGCAACATTTATTGAAGGCTCGCTACATGCCTGCAAGGTTCAGGTGAGGGACAGAGCGGGACCATATAGGCCTCTCTCAGCCTCCAGCCTGACTCATTCCTGCTTCCATCCTCTTTCAATCTGAGAAAATCCCTTTCCTGGGAGAGCCAGGGATGGCAGGGAGCAAAAGGTGGTCGGGTGAGGGTGGTCTTCTCCACGTGGACAGAATGGAAACCTGTGGTTTTTCTTCCTGCATTGAACCAGCAGGCTGAACTGGAGCTGGACTCCTAGGACATTAAAAGGGGGTCAGAGGTGAAGATGTGTCTTCTAAGTGAGATCCTGTGGGTGGGGTGTGTGTGTGTGTGTGTGTGTGTGTGTGATTAGGTGGAAGGAGAGGGGTCTGTGCCTCTCTGTCTCTGTCAGGCACACAGAGAATGGCAGTGGTGAGCCTGCGGTGTATTGGGAAAACATTGTTGTTTGCCTAGAAGTGGCCACGAACCCCAGCTCCTCCCTGCCAGGAGACTCTGGGTTCTGCGCTTCCAGACACAACCGTCTTCCCTCCCTTCCTCCCTTCCACATTCCTCCCTTCTCCTCAAACCCTGGCCCAGGTGCCCCCAGGCTGGCTAGGTTCAGCCAGAGGATAGAGGACCGCATACCAATCCCAGCCTCCACCAAGGTGGAGAATTCCTGCAGGGTAGAGTCAGCAGTTGGTTCAAATCCCACTGTCATCCATGCGATCTGACCACACAGCACACAGCTGCTTTTTTACCTACCTATCACATGCCCTACATCTCCTGACAGGGGATGGACGCACTCTGCCCTTCGGAGCCTCTCCCCAGTCCTCAGGGATCACAGCTCACTATAGATCACAGCCCACTGTGGAGGAACCTCCAGCTACGGCCCAGGTGACCCACTGACTAGAATTCACAATTCACGTCATCCTGCCACCAATACCCCTGTGAGCTAGACACTGAAATCGACTCCATTTTACAGATTTGGAGACTGAGGCCCAGAGAGATTGAGTTCCCATCTGTGGTGGGTTGGCGGGTGAGCAGCAGACACTCTGGCAGGCAGCCTGGCTCCTAAGCCATGTGTCACTACTGTCTTAGTGGAAAATCAGCCACAAGGAGGGATTCCCCTCCCAATCTCCTGGCCCTTGCCAAGGGTCCATGCTGGACACCAGAGGAGGAAGGGAGTCCACGCTGGCTCTGGCCTCAGACTCTTGTTCCTCAGGAAACCGCTGCAGCGTTGCCTCCCTGTGGCCACCCCAGGTTGTACCTGCACATTCCCAGCTAGCCCCGGTGTCATTGCATATTTATCTGTTGATCACTCAGCTCCAGGGGCTGCAGTATCAGCCCAGGAAGGCAGGCTCTTGTCTGTCTTGTTAGCGGCTGTGGTCTGGCACTGGGCACATAGTCAGTATTCAATTAATTTTGGCCAAAGTCCTTTTGGATCAGTTGTCTATTGTCAGTGTGGCTCAGATGCAACCCCACAGATTACCATGTGACTCTAGCAGGTCACCCCCCCTCTCTGAGCCTCCCTCCCATCATCTGTAAAAGAGACTTATCACTGAGTCCTACACATATTAAACACTCAAAGGATTTCTATTGCATGAGTTAGTGAAATCCGAGCTGGAAGGGCCTTTAGAGGCCAGGGTTGCAAACTCAGACTCCAAGAGCCAGGCGGGAGTCAGAAACGGCCAAGGGAGCTGGGCGGGGACTGAGGCAGCTGCTACTCAGCTCCACCCACCAGCACCCAGGTCTTCTGATTTCTCAAGGAAAGCCAGAAGTCTAGAGATTTACAAGAAGTTTCCTGATTTGTAAGTATTGGCAACTAATTTAAAACATTAAAGCACATCTGTGGACAGGATGTGGCTGCAGGCTGTTTCTTTGCAACTCATGATTCATCTAACTGCTCGTGGCACAGATGAGATGGAAGCCCAGAGAGGCCACCAGCCCCAAGTCACAGAGCACAGAAGTAGAGAGGAAACAGTGATCTTTGTACTTCAGCTGCCGCCCTGTTGCCCAAGCTCAGGGCAATGGCTGGGCCCTGATCCCGAGGGAGGCGGTGCCGCCTTCTCTCCCAGGCCTGGCAGTTCCGGGGTGAGAGGAAGGTCACACTATCTCTGGGTGCACTGCAGCCTTCGCCTCCTGCCTGGACCAGGCGGTATCAGGCACTGGGATGGAGAGAACATGCCAAGCAATGGGCTAGACTAGGAGGTAAGAGCTGGTGGCAGGGAGGGGGTGGGCACACCCTTTCCTTGCTTCAGGGATGTGCAAACCCCTTCAGCAGCCCTGGGCAGAGCTGGGAACGGGCCGGTTCAAGCCCTGCTTCTGGAGAAACGTGCTCTGCCATTGAGGCTGGGAGCTCTGGCCCTGCGTGGTTCTTAGGACCTTGGAATGCATTTATCCAACAGCTTCTATATGCCAGGTCCTCATCTGACCCACACCCTCGAAACCTCTGTGCCCACCACTCCTCCCTCCCTCCCCCTTGCTCTGTCTGCCCAGGCACAATGGTGCCTGCTGTGCCCTGAACACAGCAACCCTGCTCTGACCTCAGGGCCTTTGCACACGCTGTTCCCTCTGCCTGGCTCACTTCACTCATTATGCAGAGGGCTCATTGAGGCCTCTATTTGAATGCCACCTTCTCGGTGAGGCCCTCCCTACCTATGCACTCTGTTAAAATTGCAAACATCCCCACACTCCCTAGCCTCCATCTGGCTTTCTTTCACCCTGCAGCACTTATAACCCTGGGGTACGTATGTTACACGTGTTTCTTCCTGTTGCTGCTGTAACAAATCACCATGAACTTGGAAGCTGGAAATAACACGAATGTGTGACCTTGCTGTTCTGGAGGGCTGAAGCCCATGGTGGGTCTCAGCAGGCTAAAATCAAGGTGGCCATGTTCCTTCTAGAGGCTCACAGGGAAAATCCATTTCTCCAGCTTCTTGAGGCCGCCTGCGTTCCTGGGCTCATGACTCCATCCTCCATCTTCAAAGTCAGCCATGGCAAGGCCCCAGGCCGTCTTTCCCAGGCTGCATCCCTCCTCCTGCAACACCCCTGCTTCCCTCATCACTGATAAGGCCCCTTGTGATGACATTGGGTCACAATGTCATCAGCTGGGTAATCCAGGGTCGTCCCCCCCAAGGTCCAGGTCAGCTGTTCAGCAGCCTTTATTCGCCTTGGCCATGTAACCTAGTACATTCACAGGCTCCAGGGATGAGGACATCTGGAGAAAGGGGCTTGACTCTGCCCACGACGTGGGCAAACACACCAGGCGTCATCTCTGGGATATCTGCCCGGTGCCTGGTGCACAGAAGGTGTTCAGTAGACCCTTGGTGACTACGTGGGTGCCGGAGTAGCACATGGCCACCGAGGGAAGGGGAGGCAGGAAAGGTGACTCAGCTACCCCAGGGGTCCTCCCTGTCTTACTGATGAGGAGACCTGGGCAGACCTGACATGCTCAAGGGTGAGGAGCTGTGACTTAGCCCCTGTCCTTCCTCAACGCCACAAAGAGGGGGGTGCCCAAAGAGAAGGCCTGAGGTCCGGCAGCTTTAAAGGGGCCAGTCCTGACCCAAAGCCCTCTCTCTGACCACCCCTCACAACTCCCACAAACTCCCCTCCCAAGGCTGGGCCAGCAGTGCCTGCGGGGGGCTGCCCAGGCGTGGCCCTGCCATGTGGGACCTGCCTGCATGGCTCAGCAGGACCCAGTTGAGTCACTGACAGCTGGGTGCTCTCCCTCCAGCACCACGTGTCTCCCTGGCTTCAAAGGAGACCAACTCAGGGCCCAAGTTTCCTCATGACTGAAAAATGTTCCACCCTAAAGGACATGAACAACAGCTTGCCGAGAAAGAAAGAGGACTGAAACAAGTGGCTTTTGAGCACAGGGAGAGACGCTTGGCCACGTACAGCTGCAGGCAGAGATCTGGGAAACAGACTGTCAGGTAAAGCAGGTGAGAAACAGGAGAAGTTTTCTGCAAATCAGAACACTCATCATAAAATAATTCTGTTTGTTTCACAAGGACACATATACATCCAGGGACATATGTCATGGGGCCCGGTATCGAGGCTCAAGGAGAAAATAAAATAAAATAAAACAATGGATCGTCCTGACATGTGGCAGTGATGCTATGGGGGCTTTTTGCTTCTGTTTTTATTTTTAGATGGAGTCTCGCTTTGTCACCCTATTGTCAGCGTGGCTCAGATGCAGCCCCTGCCACTGACCGTGTGACTCTGGCGGGTCACACCTCCTCTCTGAGCCTCCCTTCCATCACCTGTAAAATAGATTTATCTCTGAGTCCTACACATATTAAACACTCAAAAGATCTCACGATCTCAGCTCACTGCAGCCTCTGCCTCCCAGGTTCAAGCGATTCTCCTGCCTCAGCCTCCCAAGTAGCTGGGAGTACAGGTGCTTACCACCATGCCGGGCTAATTTTTGGTATTTTTAGTAGAGGCAGGGTTTTGCCACGTTGGCCAGGCTTGTCTCTTGACTTCAGGTGATCCGCCAGCTTATATGAGATGGAGAAGGGCAGGGCACATCACCGAGCAAAATGGAGGTCCCTTCACCCCAGAGTTGCGCACCCCGCCTCCCTCGCTCCCGCTACCTCTCGGCCTCACTGCATGGATGGACAATGGCAATAACCACCTCCCGGGCCTCCCTGACTCTGCCCTTGCCTCCCCGCTTTCCCCCCAACTGTCCCTTCTCTATCCAGCAGCCGGAGCAATCTTCCTAAAATTCTAATCTCATCTTCCCTCGGCCTGCTCTCAGGCGGGGCCAGGGACGAGGTGAGGCCAGCAGGTGCCCAGGCCGGATGTCAGGAGGCCCCACTCTCACACGAGCCCCTTCTCTGGCCTGAATCACAGCAAGGCCTCCTTATGTTGTGCACTCAGGGTCCTCCTCACACAGACGGGAACAGTCTCTGGAATCCCCCCAGAGCCACGTTTGGTTTCCTTCCAGGCAGACAGGGCCTCTCCAGGCAGATGGCTTCTTCCATCCAGATGAGGGTGGAGGCCTGGAGACCTAGCAGCTCTGGGCTGGTGGGATAATATCCAGGGGAGAGGTTTCTGTTTTCCTGCAGTGGTTCTCTGGCCTGTGCTGGCTGGATGGGGGTGTTGCTAAATCCTCCAGCTTCCTGAGGCCTGTGGAGAAGCAACCCTGAGGTGGACTCTGCACCCCCACCCAGAGGCCCCAGCAGGATGGAGCCCAGTTACCCAAGTGATAGCCTGCTCATCTACACACCCAGCAGTACCAGCCGCCCCCTCCCTTCTGCTCTCAGAGCTTCCCAGGATCAGCTCCCAGCTAAGCTCCCTGCCCTTGGACCCTCTAAGTGTCCGATTCTGCAAGAGATCCAAGCCAAGACCCAGGGAGATGGGTCAGTGGCTCAGGGCTGTGTGGCTTATGATATCTGCAGAATCCTCTCTGTGGCCTGGGTCTTCCTGTCTTCTGGGTGATCCCAGGTGATGAGCAAGTCAAGACGTCAGTGGGCAGCTATGTGCAGTGGCTCATGTCTATAATCCCAGCACTTTGGAAGGCCAAGGTCAGGAGTTCGAGACCAGCCTGGTCAACATGGTGAAACCCTGTCTCTACTAAAAATACAAAAATTAGCTGGGCGTGGTGGTGACAGGTGCCTGTAATTCCAGCTACTTGGGAGGCTAAGGCAGGAGAATCACTTGAACCCAGGAGGCGGGGCAGAGGTTGCAGTGAGCCAAGACTGCGCCATTGCACTCCAGCCTGGGCAACGAGAGCAAAACTCCATCTCAAAAAAAGCAACAACAGCAACAACAAAAGGCACATTGTGTACATATGCAGAATATGCATCTAAAGAAAAATTGTATGCTGAGCACAGTGGCTCACGCCTGGAATCCCAGCACTTTAGGAGGCCAAGGCAGGTGGATCATGAGGCCAAGAGATCGAGACTATCCTGGCCAACATGGTGAAATCCCATCTCTACCAAAAATACAAATATTAGCTGGGCGTGGTGGTGCACACCTGTAGTCCCAGCTACTTAGGAGGCTGAGGCAGAACCTGGGAGGCAGAGGTCTCCGTGAGCCAAGATCACACCACTGCACACAGCCTCCATCTCAAAAAAAATGTAATCAAAATTAAAAAGTAAAAGCACACACATGAAACTCTTGCTGCATGCCAAGGGTCCTGAATGAAGTAACTAGTCAACTGGTTATGGGGATGTTACCGGTGGGTGCTCTCATCATCCCATTTCTCCGCAAGGCCCAGACACATTCCCAAGGTTGCAAAGCTGGGAAGCAGCAAAGCTGGGATTTTTTTTTTTTTTTTTTGAGACTGAGTCTTGCTCTGCCGCCCGGGCTGGAGTGCAATGGCGAGATCTTGGTTCACTGCAACCTCCGCCGCCCAGATTCAAGCAAGTCTCCTGCCTCAGCCTCCTGACTAGCTTGGATTACAGGTGGCCACCACCACACCTGGCTAATTTTTTCTATTTTTAGTAGAGATGGGGTTTCACATGTTGGCCAGGCTGGTCTCAAACTCCTAACCTCATGATCCCTGCCTTGGCCTCCCAAAATGCTGAGATTACAGGTGTGAGCCACCATGCCCAGTTTGAAGCTGTGATTTGACCCCAAGTAATGGATTCTCCAGATGAAAAAAACAATGGCCCTGCTGATGGCCCTGAAAGCCGTTTCCAATCCTTCTCTAGCACAAAAACACAGTGCTGAACGACCCCTCAGGTGCGTGTGTTTGTAAGCATGCACTAGCAGGTTCGGGGGAATAGATTCTTAGAACTGAAATTGCTGTATCAAAAGACGGGTGTACCATTCTATTATTGTTAGGGCTGCCAAAAGGGAAAGAGACTGCCCATTTCCCCACATCCATGCCAGAAGTGCGTGTTCTTGTTTTCGCCACTCTGGTGAGAGGCGCCCTTCCTCATGGCCCTAGGAAGGTGGTGGAGTTATATCCCAGCCCTAGGAAGGCAGCCTCCTTCCTGCAAGGGGTCATCCAGGGAGCAGCCTGTGCCAGCCCACCTCTGGGCATCCTCTTGTCATGGAAATATTTCAGGGCCTGCTTTCATCCTGAACAGTAACTGCAGTGGAAAGAGAAGGCCTCTGTGATAGACTAAATTGTGTGCCCTCAAAATGCATATGTTGAAGTCCCAACCCCCAAGACCTCAAAATGTGACTGCATTTAGAGGTGAGGTCTTTAAAGAGGTGGTTGAGTAAAAATGAGGGTGTTAGGGTGGGCCCTAATCCAATCTGCCTTGTGTCCTTATAAGAAGAAGAGACCCGGCCAGGCACAGTGGCTCACACCTGTAATCCCAGAACTTTGGGAGGCCAAGGCTGGTGGATCACGAGGTCAGGAGATCAAGACCATCCTGGTTAACACAGTGAAATCCCAACAATTAGCCGGGTTGGTGGCACGCACCTGTAGTCCCAGCTACTTAGGAGGCTAAGGCAGGAGAATTGCAGGAGGTGGAGGTTGCAGTGAGCCAAGAATGCACCACTGCACTCCAGCCCGGGCAACAGAGTGAGATTCCGTCCAAAAAAAAGAAGAAGAAGAACAGATCCCAGGAGCGCTCACGCACAGAGGGATGGTCACGTGCAGAGGCAGCAAGAGGGCCGCCATCTGCAGACCAAGGAGAGAGGCCTTGATGGAAACCAACCCTGTCAGCTGGCATGGCGAGCTGGGACTTCCAGGCTCCAGCACTGAGAAAATAATTGTGCTGCCTAAGCCACAGTCTCTGGTCTTTGGCTATGGCTTTCCAGCAAACAAATATAGCCTCTTCCCTGTACACCTAAAGAGTTCCTGGGAAGAGGCCCATGTGCCTGGCTTGGGTCACGTCCCATCTGTTACCAATTCCCGTGGCCACCAGATGCTGAGCTCTAATTGGCCAAGTGCTCATCTCTGGAGCTAGGGATGGGCTCAGCCCACCAACCTGGGTTCACTTTGCCTTGTTTGGTTAAAGACTTTAATTTAAAGCAAGTGAGGGCTGGATGCAGTGGTTCACTTCTATAATTCCAACCCTTTGGGAGGCTGAGATGGGAGGATCACTTCAGCCCAAGAGTTCGAGACCAGCCTGGGCAACATAGCAAAACCTCATCTCTACAAAACGTATTTAAAAATTAGCCAGATGTGGTGGCACGCACCTGTGGTCCCAGCTACTTGGAAAGTGGAGGTGGGAAGATCACTTGAGCCTGAGAGATCAAAGCTGCGGTGAGCTGGGATTGTGCCACTCCACTGCTCTCTTTCAGACGGAGTGAGACCCTGTCTGAAAAAAAAAAAAGAAAGTGAAGTCAGGCCTGTGGCTACATGTTTCTTTTTGTTGTTGTTGTTTGTTTGTTTTTTGAGACAGTCTCACTCCGTCACCCAGGCTGGAGTGAAATGGTGTGATCTCGGCTTGCTGCAATCTCTGCCTCCCGGGTGCAAGCAATTCTCCTGCCTCAGCCTCCTGAGTAGCTGGGAGTACAGGCCCTGCCACCATGCCCAGTTAACTTTTTGTACTTTTAGTAGAGACAAGGTTTCACCATATTGGCCAGGCTGGTCTCGAACTCCTGACCTTGTGATCCGCATGCCTCACCTTCCCAAAGTGCTGGGATTACAGGTGTGAGCCACTGCGCCCAGCCCTGTGGCTCCATATTACAAGGGGATAATTTATATGTCTGAGCTCAAGTTCAGATGTAGAAGTTGGGTTCTCTTTTCTTTTCTTTTTTGGGGGACAGGGACAGAGTCTCACTCTGTCACTGAGGCAGTGGCGTGATCTCAGCTCACTGCAACCTCCGCCTCCCAGGTTCAAGCGATTCTCCTGCCTCAGCCTCTCAAGTAGCTGGGATTACAGGCACCTACCACCATGCCTGGCTAATTTTTATATTTTTAGGAGAGGCAGGGTTTCACCATGTTGGCCAGGCTGGTCTTGAACTCCTAACCTCAAGTGCTTTGCCTGCCTCAGCCTTCCAAAGTGCTGGGATTACAGACATCAGCCACTGCGCCTGGCCATCAAAATTATAAGCCTTTAAAAAGTTCCTTTGATCCTACCCATGGTGGGCAAACTCTACCTCTGGCATTGGGTCACACTACAATTTCCAACTCATGTCTGCTTTTAGCCCCTGGAGATTTCATTTAAATCTTGTGAGCTCGGCCATCTATCCCCAAGATGCAGCTCCTTCCAGGTACCTGTCAGGTGTCCCAGCAGGAGGGTGTCAAGGTTCTCTAACCTGGCCAGCGACTGAGCCTCTGGGCCCCGCGAAGATGTCTCTCTCACTCACCGTTAGTCCAGTCCCTGGCACAGCCTTGGGGCTGGGCAAATATTTGTTGAATGAATAAACAGGCTGTGGCTTATAAGCTGGTTCAGATCCTGCTCCCCACTCACTTCTCATGGAAGAACCACTTCAGTCCTCCAAGCCTCCCCTTCTTCTTCTGCATGGGGGATATTGTGTTACTGTTGTTTTTTAAACCTGAGGCTTTTTGAAAAATAGAACAGTTACAGGTACAAAAAAAAACCACACAGCATAAGCACATCCCTTAGCGATTTGTTATAAGGCAACTAAACATCCTTGTGACCCCCGCCAGGTCAAGAAATGTAATTTTGCCTGCTACCCCTAGAAGCCCCTGCAGAAGCCCTGTCCTCACAAAGCCCTGCCCTCCTCCCAAAAGTCACCACGACCCTAAGTTTCATGCATATCACTCGTGTTTCTTTCTCATTTTACCAACCCTGGGAGCCGCTACAGACACTGTATTTTATCTTGCCCTTTTTCCAAACTTGATGTCTTTTAAGCCTCTCTTAGTTTCCATTCCTCCTCCAGCCCTTTCTTTTCCTTACAGTTTATCTGCTGCAGTTCCTGGGCCGTCTAACCTTCAGAGATCCCTGGGTCTGGGTTAGGCTGATGACAGTGCCGTGTCATGGTTCAGCGTGTCCTGTCCTTGGGATTTTCTGCACAATGGCAGCTGGATCCTGAGACTACACCAGGGATATTTCCAAGCTTCTGCCCTCGGGGGTCACGGTGAGAATCGAAGGGGGATGGGTGGGTGTTTGGCATCGGCAAGCAGCCCCCAGATGCAGTCGCCAAGGCCATCGGGAGCTGCCCACGAGGCCTGAACACACACAGCCCGAGGGACATCGTCTCAACAGTTCCTCCTGGCTTCTCTCCCCAAGCCAGACCCACCCATCCCACTTCAGGAAAGTTCCAGGGCCGCCGCTGGCTTGTCCCAGCGGAGCTGGCAGCAGAATGGCCTGTAATCTTAGCTGTTCCTCTTCCCTAAAATTATTTTCCATCTGGAAATGGTTTCCCAACCCTGCCCAGGAAAGAGTTCGTGGTGCAGGGAACATGTTTCTGTTAAAAACAAAACAAACAAAAAATAAAACCAGCCACCAAACGCTGAATCTCTGCAGCCCAGGCTCTGGAGCCCTGTCTGAGCACCAGCTGTGTACCCTGCCTTGAGGGGCCTCTGCCAGCGAGGAGCAGAGGGTGAGAGGGCATGGCTCTGCCGCCAGGAGCCCCCCGCCCATCTGGTGCACAGACAAGGACCCTGACGCAGGGCGTGGGACAGCCCCAGTTCAGCTGAGAAGAAGGATCAGGCCTGGGGCTGAGAGGCCCCCCAGCTGCTGCCACACTTGAGGTCTGTGGGTTATTCTAGGTCCCACCGGGCATGGAGTCACAGAGCAGAAGTTCTTCCTACAGGGATTCTCTTGCAGCTGCTCTGAGCACTTCAAGAAAAAAAAATAATCCCTGCCGCTAACATCTCCCCATCACCTTGCTAACTCTCTCCTTTCTAACGAAATTCTCACAGGCCCCCGACTCCAGACTGCACCAGCAAGAGCATCTGGCAAGAATATCATGATATTTTTAGCATTTCTTGTGCTTATTTTCATAATTTTGTTTTTGAGACAGTCTCACTCTGCCGCCCAGGCTTGAGTGCAGTGGTGCTATCCCAGCTCAACCCGCAACCTCCGCCTCCTGGTGATTCTCCTGCCGCAGCCTCCCGAGTAGCTGGGACTACAGGTGTGTGCCACCATGCCTGGCTAATTTTTGTATTTTTAGTAGAGACAGGGTTTCACCATGTTGGCCAGGCAGTCTTGAACTCCTGACCTCAGGTGATCTGCCTGCCTCGACCTCCTAAAGTGCTGGGATTACAGGAATAAGCCACCTTGCCCAGCCTTTCTTCTCTTTTCCTTTTTTTTTTTTTTTTTTGAGACAAAGTCTCACTTTGTTGCCCAGGCTGGAGTGTGGTGGTGCGATCTCGGCTCACCACAACCTCTGCCTTCCGGGTTCAAGTGACTCTCCTGCCTCAGTCTCCTGAGTGCCCAGATAACTTTTGTATTTTTAGTAGAGACGGAGTTTCACTATGTTGGCCAGGCTGGTCTCAAACTTCTGACCTTGTGATTCACCTGCCTTGGCCTCCCAAAGTGCTGGGATTACAGGGGTGAGCCACCACACCTGGTGCCCAGCCTTATTTTCACAATTGTTTTCATGATAAATGATACAGGTTTTCCATGTTTGCTAATGATATAAAGTTTTTTCTGTGCAGAAACAGGTTTAGTTAAAGAAAAACGTGGGCAGAAAGTCCACTTAAAAGATATTTTAAGGAAGACAAAACACAGATGGCACAAAATCCAAAGCTGCCCGGAGTTTGGGAGACTCAGGAGCCACGGTGAAGAGGGCAGACTCCAGATCAGAGGGCCTGGGCTTCCATTCTGGCTGTGACTCTGTGGGCTCTGTGATTTTAGGCAAGTCACTTGCCTTCTCTGAGCTCTGTGCTTTATCTGTAAAAGAAAAGAAAATGATAACACCTCATTTCTATTGTGATTTCTGAGAATTCAATAAAACAATACTGAGAAAACACTCAGCCCAGTGCCAGGCACATGAGTTGCATTTAAGGCTTTCAGAACAAGATGTGTGCTACTTTTATTCCTGTTAGGAAGCTGAGGCCCAGAGATATCACCTAGCCCATCCAAGGTTGCACAGCTTGTAGGTGGTGGAGGTGGAACCAGATCCACAAAGTTCTAATGTGAGGCTGGGATTTGTGCTCTTTAACCACTATGCTGCTATTGGCAGATCCATCCATCCACCCACCCATCCATCCATCCATCCATCCATCCATCCATCCACCCATCTATCCATCCATCCATCCATCCATCCATCCATCCACCCACCCATCTATCCATCCATCCATCCATCCATCCATCCATCCATCCATCCATCCACACATCTATCCATCCATCCATCCATCCATCCACACATCTATCCATCCATCCACACATCTATCCATCCATCCATCCACCCACCCACCCACCCATTCATCCATCCGTCTGTCCGTTTGTCCATCCATTCACCCATCTGTCCATTCGTCCATCTGTCTATCCATCCATTCGTCTGTCCGTCCATCCATCCATCCATCCATCCATCCATCCATTCATCCGTCCATCCATCTACCCACCCATCCATTCATTCATTCATCCATCCATCCATTCATTCATCCATCCATCCATCCACCCACCTATCCACCCACGTATACATTCATTCAGTCAGTCAGAATTCATGGACTTGTTCTGAGTTCATGGTGTTTTCTCAAAAAGCAGCAAAGTGCAGAGGTGCCCAGAGCAGGTTTAAATCCCAACCTACCATGTACAGGCCATCTGGGCAAGTTGTCCCACCTCTCTGAGCTTGCCCATCTGGAAGAGGGGAACACTGATAGCCCTTTGAAGTTCCTGCAGGAGGTAGAAGACTATTTTCCAGGACTTCACAGTGTCCTGCATGCCCTGCTCTGACCCCATGCTCTGCCTCTGCCTCTGTCAAGTCTCAGTGAATCAAGCCCCACCATATGTCTGCCTCATCCTGCCTCCCTCCTCCCTTTCACTCCACTTTAGTCAGACTCAGCTACTGGGGTTCCCTGAACAGCCCCAGGGCCTTTGGACACTTTTTTTCTCAAGCCTGAAATGTCCTCCTGCTTCCACCTGGTAGCCATGATTCCTCCCCAAAACATCAGGTGGGTTTCTCCCTCTGCCGGGAGGCTGGACCAAGTTCTCCCCTTCTGGGCTCCCCCAGTACCCCGCTTCTCTGACATGGAGAGGCCCCCGATGTAATAACTTAGACAAATTCTTATGCTTCGCCACAGTCCACCTTCTTGGTCACAAATGTCTGCTTCCCTTCTTTCATGCAGGTACATGCACCCCTCTGCAGACTAGACCACACACATATTTAACACAGTCGTGGCATGAGATCCGAAGGCGTGAGATCTGCCTTCCTGCCCCCAGCATGCAATGGTGAAACAGCATTGCCTCTGGCTGGTGACCTCCCCTGGACTGTTACCACCTCTGCAGAAAGGGGGCAGTAACAGGACCTGCCGCATATCTGTTGTCATGAAGACCACATGCGCTAATACACGTGGGAAGCCCTTAGCACAGCGCCTGGGAGAGCGTAAACGCTCGATGCAAGGCAGAAGAAAGGCGTGTCCTGGTAAGACAGGGCCCTTCCGACCAGGGCTGGTACTAACGTGAGAGAAGCGAGGTGCCTACAGTGCAAAATGTAAGGCAGCGTTCACTCTCAGAGCAGCGCACCTGCCGCTGCTGGCGCTCAGTAAATGAATATATCTAAGCTGCTTGCTGCTGTATCTGCAGAGCCACAGAGCGGTCCCGCTCGCCCCCTGCTGGTCGCTCTGCAGAATGACATCCCTCCCTCTGCTCTCAGGGCTCCCTGAGCCTCGGTTTCACCTGCAATTATGGCGGGGTAGGAGAATCTGCCTTTCAGTTTGCAGGGCAAACAGAAGGCATTCCTCCAACATCAGTGTCCTCCCCTCAACGCCAGCACTTAATGAGCACCTACTATGTGCAAAGGACTGAAGATGACTGAGACATGTCCCCTACCCTTCAGGGGTTTGAGGGCGGAGAGCGGAGGAGGAGAAAGGCTGGGAACAGTGACTAAAGTAAGACACTTGTCCCCATGCAGCACCTACTGCTTACCACAGAGCAGTCAGAATCACTGCCCTGGCGCCTGTTCATCTGCATGTGTTTACTAAGCACCTGCTGTGTGCCTAAGCCCAGGCTTAGCAGAGGGTTTACATGGATTAAGGTATTTAATGCTGTCAGAACACAAGATGGGTGCTCTTTTTATTTCTGTTAGCAAGCTGAGGCCCAGAGAGGTCATCTAGCCCATCCAAGGTTGCACAGCTTATAGGTGGTGGAGGTGGAACCAGAACCCACAAAGTTCTAGTGTGAGGCTGGGATTTGTGCTGTTTAATTGCTCTGCTGCTACTGACAGATCCATCCATCTACCTATCCATCCACCTAATCATCCATCCATCCATCCATCCGTCTGTCCATCCGTCCGTCCATCCGTCCGTCCATCCGTCTGTCCATCCATCCATTCATCCATCCGTCTGTCCATCCAACCATCCATCCGTCCATCCGTCCGTCCGTCCATCCGTCCTTCCGTCCATCCATCTACCCACCCACCCACCCATCCATCCAACAAATATTAGTTGAACACCTACTGAGTGCCAGACACAGTGCTGAGTTCTGGAGAGATGCCAGTGACCAGAAAGACAGCCCCTCCCTGCCCCCAGCAGCTGTTCACACGGAGGAGATGGGCAATAAGCAAGACAAATAAGTAAAATGGCACTTGAGGATTCTTGCTGTACATAAAAATAGAGTACAGGCTGTGCACCGTGGCTTACACCTGTAATCCCAGCACTTTGGAAGGCTAAGGTAGGAGAATCACCTGATCCCAGGAGTTTGAGACCAGCCTAAGCAACATAGCAAGACTCTGTCTCCACTAAAAACACAAAAAAATTAGCCAGGCATGGTGGCTCATGCCTGTAGTCCCACCTACTTAGGAGACTGAAATGGTAGGATTGCTTGAGCCTAGGAGTTCGGGACTGCAGTGAGCCATGATTGTGTCACTGAACTCCAGCCTGGGTGACAGAGCAAGACCCTGTCTCAAAAAGGCTGGGCACAGTGGCTCACACCTGTAATCCCAGCACTTTGGGTGGCTGAGGCAAGCGAATCACTTGAGGTCAGGAATTTGAGACCAGCCTGGCCAACATGGTGGAACCCCATCTCTACTAAAAATACAAAAACTAGCTGGGTATGGTGGTATGCACCTGTAATCTCAGCCACTCCAGAGGTTGAGGCATGAGAATCGCTTGAGCCCGGGAGGTGGAGGTTTCAATGAGCAGAGATCGCACCACTGCACTCAAGCCTGGGTGACAGAGTGAGACCCTGTCTTAAAAAAAAAAAAAAAAAAAAAAAAAAAAAGGCACAGAATAATGAGAGGGTGGGGCTGGCTGGATTGTGTTTCAATTTTAAACCATGGGGTGAGGCCTTGAGGGCCATTTAGGGACCTTGGCTCTCACTGTGAGTGAGATGGGAGCCATGGAGGGTTCTGACCAGAGGAGGAGCGTGGCCTGACTTAGGCTCTTACAAGAGCACTCCACGAGAAGGCCAGACTTAGGACCCAGGATGCCGGCTGGGCTTGGTGGGGCTGTGGAGTGGGGAAGACAGAGTCTGGATGTATCCTGAAGGTGGAACCGACAGGCTTAGCTGGGGGATGGGACATGGGGGTGGCAGACAGCCTCTGGGGAGGGTGGAGCTGGCTGGCCTTAAGGCCACGCAGGCTGTGGGCAGGGCAGGTTTCTGGATAAGGACTAGGTTGCAGATGCATTCACCCTGAGTTGCCCGGCAGTGCGGACGTGGAGTTTGGGTTTACCCTGGTGTTGAGTGGCACGCGCTCACGGTGCGGTTATCACGTTGCTGGTGTCATCACCACGCGGGTGCTGCAGGAACGACCTTTCCCAAAGCCAGGCTCCTCACGACTGCTGCGATGCCCCGTGCAGCCACCAGGGGGCGCCCCAGCCGCACCTGGGACTCGCAGGGACCGGGTCATCCTCAGGACGAGCTGCCCTGCTCGGGGCAGGACCCTTGGCCTCCGCTCACGGCTCACTGGAAGTTTGTTGCCTCCCTCCTTCCCCGCCCGCTCCATGTGACAGCTGAACTGTCTCCAGACATCGCCAGGCGCCCCCTGGAGGGGAAAGTCGCCCCCACGGCAGTCAGAGCCATGGCCTGCTGAACCACATTCGTTTACTGAGAGCCTACAGTGTGCCAGCGCCTACTGTGTGCCAGCGCCTACTGTGTGCCCGCGCCTACTGTGTGCCAGCGCCTAGTGTGCCAGCGCCTACTGTGTGCCTGCGCCTACTGTGTGCCAGCGCCTACCGTGTGCCAGCGCCTACAGTGTGAGTGCCTACCGTGTGCCAGCGCCTACAGTGTGCCAGCGCCTACTGTGTGCCAGCGCCTACTGTGTGCCTGCGCCTGGGCTCCACAGGGGTTCACAGGGGTGGCTTGTCACCTGTCCCGAGCGTCGTGCACCAGCAGGAGTCATGCGCCCAGACAAAGCTGGCCCCCAGATGACCACGAGGCAGCCACTCCGGACAGTAGAACACCAGAACCAAGTGCATCCACCCCACAGGCGAGGGGACCGCTGGTGCCTCCAGGTTTGCCATTTATTAGCTGTGTGTCCTTGGGCAAGTCGCAAGAGCTCTCTGAGCCTCAGTTTCCCCATATGGAGAATGAGATAGGAGTCCATTTTGGAGCCAGGCACCAAGATGGGGTCTGAGACCGAGCCAGGGCAAGACCACTGCTCCTTCCAGAGGATCACAGGCTGGGCGAACAGCACCTGCCGCATGAACATTGCCTGTGCCAAGCACACCTGAACCCTGACGTTTCCCAGCTTACGTTTTCTCCATATCATGGCTGATACACTAATTATTTCACTCATTTCTCTGGTTGATCATCAGGCTCCCAGCTCGAGAATGTGAGCTTCGCGAGGCCAGAGACTTCGGTCTAAATTGTTTGCTGCTGAATCTGCAGAGCCAGGAGTGTACCTGGAACACAGTGGCGGCTCCATCTGGTTGGACAAACAAATTTTGGGCTTCCGGTTTTGCCCCCATATAGTTCAACCTACATCAGATGATGCTGTGCCTTGGAACTCTCCTCGCTCAGAGTCAAAGCCGAAGTTCTCCACAGGCCCTACTGATCTGTCCCTACCCCGTCCCTAGCAGACCTCTTCTCTTCCCACTCTTGCCCTCACTCACCCTATGCAGACACACCAGCCCCTCATGGCTCCTCATACTCCTGCCTCAGGACCTTCACACATGCTGATCCTATGGTTGGAACCATAGATATCAGTAAGATTTCTTTCCCCCAGATGTCAGTAAGATTTCTGCTTTTCATCCAGGTTTCTGTTCAAATGTCACCACCTCCAGAAAGACCGTCCTAGACATGCTCCACTCAATGACCTGAAAGGATCTTGGTGAAATGTTAATTTATTACATTTTGGGTTTTTGTTTTGTTTTGTTTTGTTTTGGAGACAAGGTCCCGCACTGTTACCCAGGCTGCAATGCAATGGCACAATCTTGGCTCACCATAGCCTCAATCTCCTGGGTTCAAGTGATCCTTCCACCTCCAAGTAGCTGTGACCACGGGTGTGCACCACCACACCCAGCTAAATTTTTTTTTTATTTTTAGTAGAGACAGGGTCTCATTATTTTGCCCAGGCTAGTCTCAAACTCCTGGGTTCAAGTGATCGTCCCGCCTCAGCCTCCCCAAGTGCTGGGATTATGCCACTGCGCCCAGCCTAATGTTAGCTTCTTTATTGTCTGTCTCCCCTACCCAGCCCACAAACCCTGCCCTCTTGGAATGCACCTTCTAGTGAGCCAGATGGGCACCTCTTTGAAGTGGTGCCATTTGAGTTGTGCCTTGAAGGACAGATGCTGCTGATCATGGTGGAAATTGAAGAAAGGTCTTTCCTGGCAGAGGGAACAGGCAGCGCAAAGGCCTAGGGGCTGCTCAAGTCCTTGCCTTAGAGCCCTTAGAGTGTCCTGCCCAGTGGGTGATGAATCCCCAGGCTACACACAGATGCCAGAAGAGTGCCCCAAGTCATCAGGAAGCCATGTGGTGTGGACAGGAGCCGGGCAGGCTGGACACACAAAGGCCCATTGACAGCCACATGGGAAGGGCCCAGGGCAGCCCAAGCCGGAAGCCCAAGGCAGCTACCTCTTGTCAACTCCCAAGGATCTTTGGGTGGAGACAATAGAAAGGCCAGAACTTCTCAGGAGACTCAGGTTTCCCTGGGGTGGGGAGGAAATGCAGGCGGCTTGGTCACTGGGACATGCAGGCAGCAGTCTGAGGCTTTTGCAGTCCCCAGCCCTGATTCTAAGTCTAGCCCTGCCTCCTGCTAGCCCAGTGACCTTGGCCATGTCATGCTCCCTCTCAGCCTAAGTTCCCTCATCTCTAACACAGGGTGAAAGCTGGGCATGGTGGCTCACGCCTGTAATCCCAGCACTTTGGGAGGCCAAAGTGAGTAGATCGCTTGAGTCCAGGAGTTTGAGACCAGCTGGCCAACATGGTGAAACCCCGTCTCTGCAAAAGATACAAAAATTAGCCGGGCATGGTGGTGCACGCCTGTAGTCCCAGCTACTCGGGAGGCTGAGGTGGGACAATCACTTGAGCCCAGGAGATCGAGGCTGCAGTGAGCCAAGATCCCGCCACTGCACTCAAGCCTGGGCAACAGAACGACACTCAGTCTAAATAAATGAATGAATAAGTGAATGAATGAATAAACAAATTAATTAATTAAATGGGGTGAAACATAGAAGCAACCTTCCAGCGATGGAGTGAGACTGTCTGGGTAGAGTGGTGGGAAGCAGGCCTGACCTAGCAGGTGTTTAACAGCAGGTAGTCACTCCAGTGGTCAGCTATGGTGGCTGGCTGGAGTGGTCATCTGTGGTGGTCTGTAGTGGTGGTCGGCCATAGTAGTCAGCTTTCATGGTCGGCTATCATGACAGTAAGCATGGAGATGCGCAGGTGAGCATGGCTGGGGTTTCGGTCAGACAGACCTGGGTTCCACAGATCTCCTGCTTTCCAGTGTGGGGTGGGTGCGATCTCCTTTGTCCAAGCCTCAGTTTCCCCATCCATCAGATGGGGATAATGAGAGCCCCACACAGGGCAGACTGCAAAGCACCCAGCACAGAGGCCCCAGCACAGAGATTATAGAATGTTCCAAGGCTTTGGAGCGCAGCCTGGGAAGAGCAGGCCAAAGAAAGCGCAGGCCTCCCAGCTGAAGCAGCTCTGCAGAGCCAGCAGGGGAGGGGTGGCTGCAAAGCAGCAGGAGCTGGGCCTCCCTCCATGGGCAGGTGGGAAGCATGAGGCACGTTCCCAGGCTGATAATAGGAAGCATTTCTGGAAAGGCCCAGCTGAATAGTGAAGATAGCAGAGCAGAAATGTGAAGAATGCAGACCTGGGGTCAGCCTGCTGGGCTCAAGTCCCCTGTACTAGCTATGTGTCCTTGGGCAAGTTACTTAACCTCCCTGTGCCTTGATTTCCTCATCTGTGAAACAGGGACAAGATCGTCCCTACTAGGCTACGGAGTTGATGACGTCCTGATGAGAGACCATTTCCACAACGAATGGCCCGTAGGCTGAGGGCCTGAAACAATGATGCAGGCCAGGCATGGTGGTGCGTGCCTGGAGTGCCAGCTACTCGGGAGGCTGAGGTAGGAGGATCGCTTGAGCCTGTGACGTTGAGGCTACAGTGAGCCGAGATTGTACCACTGCACTCCAGCCTTGGTGACAGAGCAAGTCCCTGTCTCAAATAAATAAATAAATGATGTTGGACTGAGAGAGCATCAACACCCACCCAAGCTCGGCGGGGAAGGTGGATGTGGGCAGGGCCAGGAAGAGCCAGGGGGAATCCGGGCAACTGCATGTTTGTGTGAGTGCAGCCAGGTGTCAGGGTGTGGGGAGCAGGAGCAGAAACCCTGAGAATATAAAACAATTCGGTAGCAGTGGCAATGGCCTCCGGAACCCTGAGAGCTACTAACACAGCCAGTGGGACCCGCGTAAGAAGAGCTAGCATTCTGAGATCGGAAGTGTGGACTTTGGCCTGGGGCAACAGGGAGCTATTGAAGGTTCGGAAGCCAAGGGTCAGGACCCTCCTACCCGGAGAGTTGATATAACCAGGATACTCCACAATTTCATCCCCAGCACCTACCTTGGGGTCTGCCACACAGTAGATGCTCAGGGAAATAATTTTAAATGAAGAAATGCATTAATGAGTGAATGAGAAACTGGCTGGTAAAAGCTGCTCTTATTTTGCCCTTCTTCACCCACACAGCACAGGGCACCTCCAGGGACTTGGACACAGAGGGACCAGCAAAGCTGAATGTCCGGAGTAGGAATGAGCTCAGGGAGACAGAGACACAGTGAGGAGGCCAGAGCGGCTGGAATAGAGAAAACAAAGGGAGAGTTGGGCGGCGCGGCCCCGTGGAGACGAGGCGGACTCCGCAAGGCCTTGCGGGTAGGGAAGAGGGCTTTCTTCCAAGTGCAGGGGGAGCCTCCGGAGGATTTAGTGTTTTGCTTTTTTTCTTTTCCCCAGACAGGGTCTTGCTCTGTCACCCAGGCTGGAGTGCAGTGGTGCAATCTCAGCTCACTGAAGCCTCCACCTAATAGGCTCAAGGGATCCTCCTACCTCAGCCTCATGAGTAGCTGGGACTCCAGGCATGCGCCACCACACCTGACTAATTTTTTTATTTTTTGTGGAGATGGAGACTCGCTATGTTGCCAGGGCTGGTCTCAAACTCCTGCACTCAAGCGATCCTCCGGCCTCAGCCTCCTAAAGTGCTGGGATTACAGGCATAAGCCAACACATCCAGCCAGTTGCATTTTAAATCCTATCAAAGAGTGTAGGCATTATTAACATCCCCATTTCACAGATGAGGAAACTGATGAGCAGAGATTGAATGATTTACCTAAGGTCACACAGCTGCGTAGAGACCATGCCAGGATTCAGATCCCACTGGGCTGTGGGATCTGCAGGGCTGGAGAGGACTGAACAATGCCAGCTGGAGGCAGCACAGGTCCCCATCTGCTAAGCCCTGCCCTGCAACCTAGGTGACACTGGGTGTTGGCAGGCATGAAGGACCTACACCGTGGGACTGTGGGGAACATGACCAGGCCCTGCTGAGTCACCAGGCCTGGCAGGAGCTAACCTCCAATGGCTGGGAGCCGCCCCAGGGTCCGTCCTTGGTGTCCTGCCCAGCAGCTACCAAGCACAGCCACTGACGCCTGGGCTAGATGTCCCGAAGAAGCCAGAGTGACAAACAACCCCCAGATCTGCCCTCCTCCCTTTGCTGTGTGGCCTTGGGCAAGTCCCCTGCCCTCCCTGGCCTGCAGTGCCCCTGCTATTGGCCCAGGCCCCAGGCCGCCGTGCTCCTCCCTTTGTGCTGGGTAGAATCCTGGCCAATTCCTGATACTGAGTTTAGAACAGAGGGCAGAAAGGCAGGACAGATAAATGCAGGCAGTGGGGAAGCTGTGGGCCTCACAGGATTAGACTCCTGTGGGTGTGGCAGAGGCCAAGCCTACCCCATCAGAACCCCAGGGGCCCAGGCTCCACCCAGATAACAGGACACAAGAAGAGAGAGCTTCCTAAGCAGAACTCAGCTTCTATAAGCAAGATAGATAGGGCAAGCCAGCTAGCATTTATTTTATTTATTTATTTATTTTGAGACAGAGTTTCGCTCTTGTTACCCAGGCTGGAGTGCAGTGGCGCGATCTCGGCTCACTGCAACCTCCGCCTCCTGGGTTCAGGCAATTCTCCTGCCTCAGCCTCCTGAGTAGCTGGGATTACAGGCACGCGCCACCATGCCCAGCTGATTTGTATTTTCCGTAGAGACGGGGTTTCACCATGTTGACCAGGATGGTCTCGATCTCTTGACCTTGTGATCCACCCGCCTCGGCCTACCAAAGTGCTGGGATTACAGGCTTGAGTCACCGTGCCCGGCTGCTAGCATTTATTGAGCACTTAATATGTGCAGCTATTATCTAACTTAATCTTCTTAATAACAGATGATGATGATGATGCATGGTGATTCCCATTTTGCAGTTGAGGAAACTAAGACCTAAAGAGGTAAAGTCCTGGCCGGGCACAGTGGCTCACACCTGTCATCCCAGCACTTTGGGAGGCCAAGACAGGCGGATCACGAGGTCAGGCGTTTGAGACCAGTCTGGCCAATATAGTAAAACCCTGTCTCTACTAAAAATACAAAAATTAGCCTGTAGTCCTGGCTACTTGCGAGGCTGATGCAGGAGAATAGCTTGAACCCAGGAGGTGGAGGTTGCAGTGAGCTGAGACCACCACTGCACTCCAGCCTGGGCGATAGAAGGAAACTCCATCTCAAAAAAAAAAAAAAAAAGGTAAAGGCCTTGTTCAAGGTTCCCAAGCCAGGAAGTGGCAAAGCCTGGGTGAAATCCAAGTCCTTGTCATTCCAGAGTTCCTTTGCCTGGACCTCAGATTCTAAAGCTTTAGTGCCCCCCAGCCCCTCAGTAAAGTAC